GTATAGGCAGAACTCTTCTTATGGCATCTCTCAAAAAAACCATACCTTGGTTTAAAAAAAATGGCCGAGGAGAGTCAAGCTGCAGACCTTGTTTACAAACCATTTGAAACCTTGACCAGATTTACATTCCTGTTATTAATAATGGACTTTTTTATGTCACTACAGCAGAATATATCCTCTGCTACAGACCCACCATGGAAGTGAACAATTAGTTTATAATTTATAAGGTGTTTATAAATTAAGGTGTTTATAACACCTTGCCATTCCAGAGGCCTCTTAACAATCAGACACTAAGGCAGTAGGAGAGGTTTATTAGGGTGTAGGCTGTTGGATTTGCATTTTCTGAGGGCTTCCCACAGTTTCTGTGACTGTACACAGTTCTGTAGACAGTACATAAATGACAGTACTTTCCACAGTCCAGATAGGACCCATTTTTTCTGTCTTGTCTATTTCTAAGAATATTATTGCTAAGAAAAGAACATGAGTACGGTTCTTGTGGTGATGGGGTAAAGGACATCTTCACAACTTTGAGGGAGGCTTTCTCCCCAGCTTCTGGGGCTGGGCCAGTCTCCTTGGTTTAATTGTTGGGCTGTGGATTTGATCCCAGCGGACTTCCATCAGGACACTTCAATTTCTGCTCTCCTGCAGATGGCGAAGCTCCGCAGCCTATCCAAGCATGCCGAGAATGAACCTGATCTCCCCCTGGTTGATAACTGGCGCCCGACTCAGCCTCGGTATTTCAGGATGGTGAGCGCATCATTCCTCTAGGACCTGGCTCAAGTTGGGTGTCCCTGAGTGAGGCAACCTCTAGAACTAAGAGATGGTTTTGTTTTGTGTTCTCTGTTGCATTCAGACAGAACTCCAGCTGTAGGTCCGGAGGCTGAAACTTTGAGTTGTGAAATGTGAATTTCACTTTCAGAGGGTAACACTTACTTAGGCAAATCTTATCATTAAAATAGAAGTAGAGAATCTGTTTGGCTCTTCATAACTGCTTTAATATTAGCTTTTGTTAATAGTACAAAGGAAGAAAGAAGATGCTACTAACAACTACAAAACCATTTCCTATTGCCCGTATGTCTCTTGATGCTTGCCTTATTCCATGCTAAAGGGGTTGCAGTTCGTTTTTAGCATAAGACAATATTTTTTAGTAGGTGTTTTCAGCATTATCCATATGCTGCTTTGAGCTGCACCAGTTAATGCACAAGGCATTCTTGGAAATAAATGAGAGCACTCTTTTGGTATTTGATACTCACATAAAATACAAAAGGATAGAAAATCGCTTCATTACCGCTGATAAAGAAATAACTTTTTAACTTCTTAAAACAGGTGAAACAGAGGTCTATTCTGAAAATCGTGGTGAAACAGAAGTCTACTCTAAAAATTGTATTCACTGATTTATATGTAGTTAAAATTATGGAATGTGGGAAGAGCTGTTTCTGTTTGTGTCACAAGTGGTTGTCCATATTAAAAGATTAAAGTGCATTTTAATGTTGTAGCAATCAAAGTGACATAGATTTTGAGAACTTGGTCTTCATATCTTGAATATGTAATTTCTCCATGAATGCAAGTGGCTTTTTTGTGTAAAAATGGTGTTAAACAGCAAGATTTCTTAATCTTTTTAGTGTTTTTTTTGAGGCAGAGTCTCACTTCACGTGCAAATATAATTGACCCTGCTGTCAATGAGATTTATACATAAATATCTGAAACAACATTTGACTTTCCTGATCAAAATGCAGTTGACCAGGATGTTCTTGTCCCTTGTTTTGGCATAAAGAACAATGAAACAGGATTGTAAGCCTATACTTGAAATAACAGTATTTCTGCATTAAAAAATCCAACAATAATAAAAAATCCAACAATAATAAATATATTTACTTAAGAATTTTTGTTCTGCATGCTTTTTTCCAACTTTAGAAACATGTAAAAGTAACAGAATTTTGAAGAAAAACTTGTCAGTGATGTCCTCTGTAATACACTTTCATGGAAATTGATGATGGATGGTGTCTTTTTCAGATGTTTGTTTGAACTATAAGAGTACTGATAATATTTCATGTGACTGCAAGCAAGGAAATAGCATCTTAAATATGCTACATCATTGAGATATCCACATCTATTCTTTTAGTGAGATCACCCTATTCTGACAACGGCTCTCTTGTAATGTCGTATAAATCAACTCCTTCACAAGTTGATTGCACAGTGGAAAAGTTCAGTCTGTATCTAAACCCATTTATCTGAACGGTAATTTATATTGAACTTCACAAATACAAAGCAGCTGCTGCTCTGGCAGTGGCAGGACTCTTTAGGTGCCATGTTCCAGGGCAGAAGGATGTTGCTGAGCTTGGTGATAAGACAAGGGTTATGCGCCCTATGTCCAGGTTCCCCACTGTAAAAGTTTGTGGACCATGCCTTTGCTTTGCTTTCTTCCTTCAAATAGGTAGTGTTTTGGCTGGGAAATTTCACTTAGTCATTGTTAGTATTTCCTAACTAATTTCCCAAATGGATTGCATTGTGCTGTTCATGTTTGCACTTTTTATTTGTAGCCACATTGTGAAATTACTCAGATGAGTTAACATCTGCTTATGTTGCATGAACATATCACTGACTTTGACACAGATTGTCTTACATGTAAATACTTGCCCTTGCTCAGATGGATGACTGACACACCAATAAAGCCTATGCAGGCTCCTATATTTGAAAACATTTTTTTAAAATACTTGATTAAATGTAATTTGTTCCTAGCTGTGTTGTTCCAGGACAGTTCAAAGCATAGCTTTGTGTTTGATCACCAGTGCCCAACACGGTGTTGGCTGTAGGGATAAGAACATGCTGCTGGATTGTGCGTTATACTTCAGAGTGAGGTTTAATCCATAAAGATTTCTTCTTCTCATAAACTTCTAAGTAAATATCCACCAACACATGATTGAAAAACAATTATGTTGTTTCCTAAGTAAACAACATCAAGAAGTATTCTGTATCTGGTAACTGATGTTATTCTGAACAGGAAGGCAAATCACAGAACATCATTGACCATGCAGGACAGGGTTCCAGTAGAATACCCAGTGCTTCCTGCCTTCAGGTGAAAATGGCCATTTCCTGATGCGTGAAAATATGAGAATACAATACTATAAACACCCTTCTACTTCCAACTTGTTTTTCTCCAGTCAGTTCTGCAGTATATATCTGTCTGCTTATATGTTGCTTCATTAGAAAAAGGAATTTTGAAGCAAAAATTATTTTTCTAAAATGTGTAATTTGCTGTGAATTACAAGTTATTTTATAAAGTGCTTTATTAAACTAAGTTGCATATCTTGGAGCTTAGAGCAGGCTTTATCTTTCTTGCAGTTTATGATATTGCAAATCTGGAACATGTAATCTAAGGGTTTTTTTAATGATATGATGATTTCCCAGTCACACTTTGCAAAGGAGCTGTCTGGGTTCTGTAGTGAAGCTGAGGTAAGCCTCATCCTCTAGAGCCATGTTTATTAAATTTAAACTTGAAGTAATCTCTCCAAAGAAAGTGACATTTGACTTTTTCATGCAGTTGGTTTCATAATATTTGTATTTATAATTAGTAAAAGGTACACTAAATTAGACTTGGGACTCTGTTGACTCAGTTGCTGGTAGGAAGAATTGTGTGAATATGGGTTTTGGTGGTTGTTTTACAGACCCTTTCCAATGTTGAACGGACTGTCTGAAGTAATGATGACAGATGAAGAAAACAGTGGTTTAGCAGGCGTCGCAGAAAATGGAAAGTGTAGGAGTAGAAGGAAAACAAAAAGCCAAAGAATGGGACGGCCCTTCAGGGGCACTGTGAATTGAGCTGTAAGCTGAAAGTATGAGGCGACTAGGGAGAATTTCGAAGGCAGCAAGGGAGGAAAAGTGGAGTGCTGTGAGTCAGCATTTAGAATGTGTTCATGTCTAATGGAATTTTCTTTTCCCTCTGGCTGTGGTCATTGTTATTTTACGAGGTTCCCCCTTGCTTTTAGCTTGCAGCTTTCTGTAAGTACAAGAAAAATTAATCACTGGTATGACTGAATTCAGGTCACCACAGGTCACTGTAGTAATAACATCCCACACACCTCGCTTCTACCCGCACATTTCCACCGTGCGGTGTAATTCTATCCACAGCGAGAGCAGGGAGCCCTGGGTTCAGCA